CCCCCCTTTTTTGCCCCCTCCCTAATTCCCTGCAGCCACCTCTTCATTTTAGCCCCCCAGGATTCCAGCTGTTCCTGGATGGAATGAGCCAAGAGATCCTTAAAAATACCCAGAATAGCCCCTAAAATACCCTGAACACCCCCTAAAAAGGCCAGAACACCCCCCAAATAGCTCCCAGATCCCCACAAGAGCTCCCAGATCCCCACAACATCCACAGATCCTTCTCCAGGATTATTTTTCCAGGGAGGATTTTCAATCCCAACAGAAATTCACAGCTGGGGGGGGAAGGGTTTAAATCCATATTCCAAGGATTTTCCCGGATGGCCTGAGCGACCTGTGCCCTCATCCCACCCCGAGAGGCTCCAGCAGGGAATTCCCAGCACTCCCCAGCCCCAGGGTGGGGCTGGAGCAGGAAGAGCTGCCCTGGCCAAGCTGTTTTTCCTGGTTTTAAGGCTTTTTTTTCCCCATACTTCCCACTCCCCTTTTCCTTCTGGGCCAGGGAAGGGGTCGAGCCCGTCGCGTTTCCCTACCCTGTGTCCACGTTTCCTCATCCACAAACTTTCCTCCTGGGATTTTTTTTTCCCCTCCCTCGGTGAGAATCTCATCCCCAAATCCCTGTTTTCCTGCAGGAGGGGGAATAAAACAATCTCTGAGCACCCAATTCTGGTGCAAAAAGGGTTAAGATGGAAGGAATTGGGTTCGTTTCCCGTTTCCAGCGGGAAAACGAGTCGGAGTCACTGTTGATCATCCCAGTTTTTGGGGAGAATAATTCCTGGAGAGGCTGGGATGGGAAAAAAGCTGCTGTGGGAGGAAGGAGGGAGCTGAGATCCTGGTGGGATGAAGCAGGAATAAAAAAAAAGGAATGGCTGAAAATGAAGGGAAAAGGCAAGAAATGTTGGGATGGGGAAGGTTGGATGGCCGGAAAAGGAACAAATGTTTGTGTCCTGGAGCTGAAAATGGGACAAAAAGAAATCAAATGTTTGGAGCTGGAATTGCTGGAAATGGGGAGGAAAGAAACATCTTGTGGGGAATGAAGTGCTTGGAAATGGGGAAAGGAAACAAGTTTGTGGGGAGGCCAAAAATCCTGGAAAACGGGCAAGAAAAGGAAGTGTTTTGGTGAAAAATTGAATTTCCAGCTGGGAACAGGTGGAAAAGCAGGAAAATGTTTATTGGATGAACCCAAAATTGTAAAAATAACCCCTCTTCCCATCCCCTCTTCCCTCTTCCCATCCCCTCTTCCCTCTTCCCATCCCCTCTTCCCTCTTCCCATCCCCTCTTCCCTCTTCCCATCCCCTCTTCCCTCTTCCCATCCCCTCTTCCCATCCATTTCCCATCCCCCTTTTCCCATCCCTTTCCCAACCTCTTTCCCACCCAGTTTCCATCATTCCCACAGGGAACTGGGCACCCATCTCCAGTTTGTCAGTGCTGGAAAACACTGGGAAAAGGGATTCTTAGGGATTTTCCTGCTCCCAACCCCCCCTTCCCTGTGTTTTTTGGGCCCACTGACCGTTCCCCAGGCAGCAAATCCCCTTTGTCCAGATCTCTGGAATTCTTTTCTTCCCCACCACAAAGGGAAAGGCTCCAACTTTCCCAGCCTTCTCCCAACTCCAGGAGCTTGTCCAGCCTGGTGGGATCTCAGGCTTCATTTCCTACCCTGAAAACATCAAATTAAGGGGTTTGGGGGCTTTTTTTCCTCCCTAAAATCCACTCGTTTCAATAATTCCGTGCTTTTTTTGGCGGGTTTTTCCCTCTTCTTCCCTCCCTTCCCCACGGATCTTCCTCCCAGCTCCACCATCATCTTCCTCTCAGCTCCTCACGCAGCCACCCCCTCCTCATCCTGCTTTAATCCACCCGGATTAACCCAGCTCTGAATTCTGCCCTGTCAGGATTTTCCCTTGGCTGGAGCCGCCGGGATCGGAATTCCCGGCGTTTCGGATGCACCGGCGTCTCGTCGCAGCTTCATTTTGGGCTGTTTGGGGGATTTTCCACCACTCTGTGTCCTCTCCCATGGAATGGGATGTTGGGAGTGGGACCAGTTGGAGCCCTGGGTCTGGGATGGAGCTTCCCAGCAGGGATTTTGGGGGGAAAAAGGGAATAGAGGTGGTGGGTGTGGATTCGGAAGCGGTTCCTCAAGACACGGTCACGTGGGATATCCTGGAATCCCAACTGGAATGACATGGATTTGATGGATGGACCATTTGTTGGGGAAGGAAGTGGCTGGATGGTGGCATTCCAAGAGTTGTGGTCAATGCTTCCATGTCCAGATGGAGGCCAGTGACCACTGGTGTTCCTCAAGGATTGGTGCTGGGACCTGTTGGATGTCTCTGTTGGTGACATGGATGGTGGGATCGATGTCCTTGTTGGTGACACCAAGTGTGTGGTGAGGGGAGATGCTGGTGACATCCAGAGGGATCTTGGACAGGCTGGAGAGGTGGGACCATGAAGTTCAACCAGGCAAAGGTCCTGCAATTCCAAGTATAAATCCAGGTTGGGGGGATAATGGAATGGAGAGCAGCCCTGAGGAGAAGGACTTGGGGGTGATGCTGGATGAGAAGCTCAATGTGACCCATCAAAGCCACCCGTGTCCTGGGCTGTGTCACCAGCAGCGGGACCAGCAGGGCCAGGGAGGGGATTGTCCCCTCTGCTCTGCTCTGCTGAGACCCCCCTGCAGGGCTGGGAACAGCTCTGGGGTCGCCGTTTCTGGAGCCACCAACACAGGAAGGACATCTGAGCTCTTGGAAAGAGTCCAGAGGAGGCCACAGAGATGATCCAAGGGCTGGAGCAGCTCTGGGGACAGGCTGGGAGAGTTTGGTGTTCAACTGGAGAGAAGAAGGATCCAGGGAGACCTGAGAGCAGCTTCCAGTGCCTGAAGGGGCTCCAGGAAAGCTGGGGAGGGACTTGGGACAAGGACCTGGAGAGTCAGGATGAGGGGGAAGGGTTTCCAGCTGGAAGAGGGAGATTGAGATGAGGGAAGAAATGAGGGTGGTGAGACCCTGGCAGAGGTTTCCTGGAGATGCTGTGGGTGCTGGAAGTGTCCAAGAGCAGGTTGGATGGGTCTTCAGGGAATGGTTTGGGTTGGAAGGGACCTTCAACACCACCTGGATGATCCTCTAGATGGTGGATCCAAGGGTTGGATGGAGTTTGGAGCAGCCTGGGCTGCTGGGAGGTGTCCCTGCCCATGCAGGGAGGTTGGATCTAGATGATCTTCAAGGTCCTTCCCACCCAAACCATTCCATGGCCTGAAACCTGTTTCATCCCTTTTTCTGAGGCATCTCCTGAGGTTGTAAAGAACCTTCTTCTTGCCCAAAATGTCCATTTTTGGCCTTAATTCCTCCTCACAGCTGAAAACTCACTGCTAGGACTATCAGAGTAGAACAGATATGACTAAAAATGTGAAAAAAACACCCCAACTTCCTCCTCTTCCTGCTTCATCTCGATGAGGTTTTCATTTCAGTCTGTTGTTGGGTGGGGCTGGAGTGTGGGTGGCCAAGAGAAGGAATCGAGCAGAAATCACCTCCTCTTTTGGGTCAGAAAAGCCACTTTCCAACCCTCTGCTCCCTCAACCTTCAACTCCCTCATTTCCCTCCTCAAATCCTCTGGGATTTCCAGCTCTTCCTGATTTTTCCAGACAAACAGAGAGGGAGGAGAGGCCCTGAGGGCCTGGATTTCACCACCTGGGTGGTTTTGTCACCGATAACGAGCTTGGGATCAAACTGGGAGTGTCTGGAATTCGTGTCCTGGGATGTGGTGACATCAGGGATCTTTGGGACTTGGGTTTAGGTGGTTTTTCCTTCTTTCTTTTTAATTTTCCAGCTTGTTTTTCCAGCCCCTCGTTGCTGAGGTCTTCAAGACACCAAGCCCTTGGGTTGCCCTGGGAGATCTTCTCCCCTCGACACATTTTAAGTGGTTGTTTCCTTATTATACCAGCTTGTTTTCCAAGTTCCTCATCGCTGAGGTCTTGAAGACCTTGGGTTGACCTGGAAGATCTTCTCCCCACGACCCATTTTAAGTATTTTTTTTTCCTTATTTTTCCAGTTTTGCAGCTTGTTTTTCAAGTTCCTCATCGCTGAGGCCTTGAAGACCTTGGGTCGACCTGGAAGATCTTCTCCCCACAGCACCATGTCCACCAAAGCTCCCATCTACCTGAAAAGGGGCAGCAGGAAGGGGAAGAAGGAGAAGCTTCGGGACATCCTCTCCTCTGACATGATCAGCCCCCCCTTGGGGGACTTCAGACACACCATCCACATCGGCAGCGGCGGCGAGAGCGACATGTTTGGGGACATCTCCTTCCTCCAGGGCAAGTTCCACCTCCTCCCCAGGACCAGCCTGGATTCCAGGGACAGCCCTGAGGCCCCAGCTCCACCCTTCCAGTTCTCCAGGACAGCCACCATCTCCGGCCACCAGCCACCATCCTTGGAGACCTCCTCCCCCCTCCTCAAAAATGCCATCTCCCTGCCCATCCTGGGGGGCCCACAGGCCTTGACGTTGCCCCCAGCACAAGCCCCCCCACCCAAACCCCCACGGTTGCACCTGGATGACAGAGCCCCACCAAGCCAGGAAGAGGAAGAGGAGGAGGATCCATGCACCTCCCGTTTGGCCACCAATGGCTTCACTGAGGAGAAGAGCAGCCCTGAGCCCTTCCTCTCCCACGCCGGGTCCCTCCTCTCCCTCCACGTGGATTTGGGGCCCTCCATCCTGGAGGATGTTCTGCAGGTGATGGAGAAACACCACGAGGAGCGAGTGGGTGGATCCATCCAGGAGATCTTGACGTGAGGAAAACTCCAGGTAAAGATGTTGGGAAGTGGATGGTGATTCAAATTTCTTTTTTGGAGGGGGGAGGGGGTTGGTTTTGGGGTTTTGCCCCGAAATTACAGCTCAGACTCATGACTTGATCTCATAAATATCTCCAGGGGGTGTCAGGAGGGGGGGACCAGGCTCTTCCCAGTGGTGTCCAGTGACAGGACAAGAGGCAATGGGACAAACTGGAGGAAAAGAGGTTCCACCTCAACATGAGGAGGGACATCTTAACCTTGAGGGTGACAGAGCCCTGGGACAGGCTGCTCAGAATGGTGGTGGAGTCTCTTTCTCTGGAGACATCCCAACCCATCTGGATCCTGTGGGATCTGCTCCAGGTTCTCCTGCTCTCCAGGGGATTGGGTTAATGATCTCCAGAGGTCCCTTCAACCCCCTGAGGACTTCATGACTCCCAAGTTTTGACTCCACGCACCCCCCCTGAACACCCATGTGTCCTTTCCTCCTGCAGAGCCCATCGTGCCAACGGGACCTGAGGGTTTCTCCTCCCTGCAGAACCTCCAGCAGTTCCCTCAGCACGAGGAGACACCAACCAACCCACCCACCCCACGACGAAGCAGCGACGTTTGTTGGGCTGGACGGGGCCAAAGAACGACGATGGTCGAGGCCCCAAAATCTTCCAGTTTGGGAGGGGTTTTTTTTGTTTGCTTGAGAAGCAAAAGTTGTTGCCCAACCCCCCGATGTCGAGTGTCATCCTCAGACTTGGGTGAACCCCCTAAAAATGCCACAAATGGGGAAATTCAGCAGTTTTGTGGCAAAAAATAAAAGCTCCATCAGGCGTTGCCGTCGCGCCGGCTGGAAGGAGGAGCCAAAAGTTCTTGGCAGAGAAGTTAAAAAACCCCTATTTTGGCACCAAAATCCATGGCTGGAGCTTGAGATGGGGCTGAAAAGTCAACAATAAGGCTAAAAAATCACCAATAAGACTGAAAAACAGCAAAAAGAAAAGTGAAGTGAAGGAGGAATGACCCCTCTGGGCCGGGGGGTGAGGCTTGTTCTCCCCCCAGATTGTTTGGAGGGCTGAGGGGGGAAGGGTTTGAGCACCAGGAGGGAACGTGGATCCTGCTGCTTTTTTTCTCCAAAAAAAA